GGCACTGTTGCCACCCCGGACCGGACGGCAGCCTGCGGGCTCCTGTCCTGCTCGGCCTCCACCTTCAGCCCTCACCTGCCCGCACCCTCTGCTCCACGTTCCGCAACTCCTGCTGTCTCTCAGGCCCCTCTGTGGGGCTCATTCCGGACGGGGCCAGGCTGGGTGGGCGCTGACAGAGGAGTGGGGTGCAGGGCCCAAGGAGGGCTGAGGACTCAGGGAGCTGCTGGGGAGAGGAGTGAGAGGCTCGAGGGCTGTCACCACGGAGCAGGCCCCCACCCACACTGTCCCTCCCCTCTCCCACCTGGCCTGCCCGTCCCTCGCTCCCTGCCTGTGTCTTTCTGGACTGAAAGACTTAAAGTTTCCAACCTGGCTGGTTCCCCCATTACCTGGCCCGGCGACCTTGTTGGAGAATGTCCCCTTTCCTGGCCTCAGTTGTCCCCTCTGCACAGTGGGCACGAAGTCTTAGCCACCTGGACAGGACAAGGTGGGAGCCGGAGAGGCCCAGCTAGCCCTCCTCGCTGCCGCGTTCATCTGTCCCCAGCCCCATGGTCCCGGGCCCTGGGTAGGGTGGTGGTGGCGGGCACCAGAGCCTGTGGGGTCCCCACCCCCAGCTGAGCCTGTCCCCTGTCCTCTCTTGCAGCCCCCCATCGTCCACGCGGAGCATGAACATTGAGGATGGCGCGTGCCCGCTCCCCGTGCCCCCCACTGCCGCCCGGTAGGATGTCCTGGCCCCAGGGGGCGCTGCTCTTCCTGTGGCTCTTCTCCCCACCCCTGGGGGCCGGCGGGGGCGGCGTGGCTGTCACAGCAGGGGGCTCCCCGCCGACCACCTCCTGCCCCGCCGCCTGCTCCTGCAGCAACCAGGCCAGCAGGGTCATCTGCACGCGGAGAGAGCTGGCCGAGGTCCCCGCCAGCATCCCCGTCAACACGCGGTACCTGAACCTGCAGGAGAACGGCATCCAGGTGAGCGGGGTGTGGTGGGCTCGGCCAGGCTCAGCACACGGCTTCAGCTCAGCTGGCCTCAGTTGTCCTGTGCCCGGGACAGGCGTCCCCGTTCTCCATCTGGAAAATGGGGACCTGTGGAGGGCTGGAGGGCGGCGTTCGGGGACTCAGCGTTGGCTCGAAAGCAGCAGGGTGGGCACTGCCGTGCGTGGTTCGAGGTGCTGCCTGGCTTCGCTTGGGCGCCAGCGGGCAGGGCCGCTGCCATGTGATTAGTTACAACTGTAACGGGGATCGGCTGTGAGGTGTCCTGCGGGAGGGGCGCAGAGCCGCGGGGCTCCAGGGCTGGGAGGCCGTTTCCTTTTCCAGGTTTGGGGCCAAGCTGCCCTTCCTTGTAAGGTGGGTACCCTGTGCCCCACAAGGCTTTCACAGCGGCTGTGGTGGTGTCAGCAGCACCTGTCCAGGTTCCCAAATCACCTCCAGCTCTTCCTGCCCAGGGCTGGGCACCAGTGTTGGAAGGGTGTTTGGTAGCCCCGTCCCCACTCGGGCCTTCAGTGGCTTTCCCGACCTGGCCAGATCTCCCCAGAAGGCCCAGCCCCTCGGGGTGAGGAGGGACGGTTGTGCGGATGGTGCCTTCCCGGGCTGCAGCCGGAGGACCTGGGAACCACAGTGAAGGTGGAACCCTGAGGAGGGGCCCTGGGCCGCGCCTGTCCTTGTGGCCGGCTGCATCTCCAGCTGCTGTCCCTGTGTTCCCAAGAACCCCACACCCACCGGCCCCGTCCTGTGAAGGCCCAGCCCCTCGGGGTGAGGAGGGACGGTTGTGCGGATGGTGCCTTCCCGGGCTGCAGCCGGAGGACCTGGGAACCACAGTGAAGGTGGAACCCTGAGGAGGGGCCCTGGGCCGCGCCTGTCCTTGTGGCCGGCTGCATCTCCAGCTGCTGTCCCTGTGTTCCCAAGAACCCCACACCCACCGGCCCCGTCCTGTCTTGCGTGGTCCCTTCGTTTATCCAAGTGTTTCCACGCTGAGCCTGGTTCCGGCCTACACCAGACCCCAGTGCTACACGCACCGCGGAGTACGCTTGTGGACACAGTTCATAGCCAAGTCAGGCCCTGGGCTGTTGTGTCACAAAGCATCCACCAAAGTGGGCACCTGAAAGGGTGAGAAGCGGGAGATCTGAACGCTAGCCCAACACTCTGAACCTGTCCGAGCACCCGGGAGGCTGAGGCAGGAGGATCACCACAACTTTGAGGTCAGCCTGGGCTGCATAGTGAGTTCAAGGCCAGCCTGAACTACCTGGCAAATAGTCTTGTCTCAAAAAAACTAAAAAAAAAATTTTTTTAAATAATAATAAGTAATACTTTCTAATTACCCAAATGAAAAAACCACTACAGTCCCAGCACCTAGACATAAATAACGATAGCCTAGATATGTTTTGTTTTAATGTTCTGGCTCTTTCCTGTGCTTATGTAAATACATTTTAAATTATTTATTACAGAATGAATATAAAGTAATTTAGAAAAACTAGAAACTACACCTAAGTGCAAACACAGAGCAAAACCCAGCCATAGGTGACCCATGCACATCCACCAGGCCAGCAGGGGGACTGATTGCTCTTTTTTAAGACATGGTTTCGGTATGTAGCCCAGACTGGCCTTGAACTTTCCGCAGTCCTCTGCCTCCGCTTCCTGAGTACAGGCGTATGCAACCACATTCAGCTTATTTGATTTTTTCTTTTTCTTTTTTTTTTTTTTTAAGAAAAATGGATCACCTTCTTTTATGCTGGTCCCAAACTATTGGCACCTGGTACCGTAACTGAACACCTTTCTCCCCAGCATCAAATATCCTTCTCTAGGGTCGTTTGTATGACTGCATAGTACTCCTGGGTGTGGGCACTCCGTTGTTTAATATGTCTCTTCCTAAAGACAAGACATCCACGCATGGGAATAGTGTGCAGCCATAAAAATGACACCAGAGAAGAATAATCAGTCCCTTTGCTGTTTCAGGGTGGTGTTGACTGTTGTTATTCTTTGGAAATGAGATTTGAACCCAGGACATTTGCACTGAACTACACCCCCAGCCTTTTTTCTTTTTCTTTTTCTTTTTCTTTCTCTTCGAGATAAGGTTTTGCTAAATTGCTACCTTTAGGCTGGGGTCAAACTGGTAATCCTCCTGCCTCGGCCTCGCAGAGTGCTTGGACTTTAGGTGCACACCACCTCGTGTGGCTCTCCGGGTTTTGCAGGGACAGGAACAACACCGAAGGGCACAGCCTGGTTACCTCTTGTCACCCATGTGGGATGGGGGCTTTGAAAAATTCCAGGATGCTCTCGGGGGAGAAGGCGGGGTTCAGAGTATGGCCCGGCCTGCAGCGACCCAGAGCCTGTGGGTGGGATCCCTGCAGCGTCTGCCCTGGGGTCCTGGCACCTCAGAGGCCTCCTTCCCCTGAGCGCACAGCCCCAGCCTGGCACAGTGTGGACAGCAAGGGCGGGAACCAGGATCCAAGACCGCCCAGTGTCCAGGCTGCTGTTGTCTACTCTGGGGTCCCCAGTTAGGATGATATTTGTCGCCCTTGGGGTGATGCACGGTCCTGGGAACCAAAGCTGGAGGACTGCTCAAAAAAAATCATCAGTGACCCTGGCGTAGTGGCTCACACCTGTAATCCCAGCCCTGTGGGAGGCTGAGGCAGGAGGATCACCAACTTGAGCTCAGACTGAGCAACTGAATAATTTAGTGAGATCCTGCCTCAAAATAAAAATAAGCAAAGGCTGGGGTGTAGCTCAGTACAAAGACCCGAGTTCAATGCCCAGTACCACGCGGGCCCTGCTTGTTTGGGAAACAGGTGGGTCCTGCAGTCCTGGAGCTCTGCCCCTGACGCCTTCCCGGACACCACCCTGCAGGGCGGTCCCCAGTCTCCTCCAGGGTCCGAAGCAAGCTCCGCCCCGCTGTCCCAGCCCCGCCTCCTCCCTGGCCCAGCCGCCGCGCCAGCGCAGCAAAGCGGTGCAGAGCAAGCTGTCACAGGTGTCCCCGGTTCTCCGGCGGCCGCAGTCCCTCCACAGAGCCGGCTCGGACCCTGGGGGCTCCATTGGCCCAGGGAATCGCGGCCGCAGGATTTGCACGCATTTAATTTAACCAAGCGTCTCTGGCCCACCGAGGCTTTTAAGGGCCGAACCGCGGCGGCCGCACCGGGTCTGAAGTGCGGTTCGGCCTCCCCTCCTGGGACTCGCACGGCTGGGACGAGCACTCAGGGAAGGAGAGGCGCGGAGGTATCGCTGGGCTTCCAAAGAGCGCAAGCTACTGTCCCGGGTGTGCTTTGAAAACTTAGTGATTTTTTTTTTTTTAAGACAAGGGAGCATCCGGGAATGTTACCAGTGCCCCTCTCTTCGTTATGGCATTTGGCGGGTATTTAACCTCTTTCCCTCCCCTTTCCTCATCCTCTTCTTAGTACTGGGATTGAATTCAAGGCCTTGCTGCTGGTCTACATTCTCAGCCCCCCGCCCATGCACACCTTGGTTTTTCTTTTTCTTTTGGACAGGGTCTCACTGTGTAGTTCAGGCTGGGCTTAAACTCACAGTGTGTCCCAGGCTGGCCTCGATCTTAGGGCAATCCTCCTGCCTCAGCCTCCCGAGTGCTGGGATTATAGTCGAATACCACCACACACGACCTGCTAAGTTTTTTAATGTTTTCTTTATTCTCCACGTTTTCTTCTACAAGACAGAACCTTTAATACTTTTTGAAATCAGGAAATTAAAAATAGAACAAAATGTTATTCGAGCTGAAGGAAAAAGAGTCTCCCTTGGGATTTGTTCACTGCCCCCGGAGAAGGAGAAAGAAGCCAGGCTGTGGGCTGCTTGTCCTGAGCTGGGGCGGGGAGCCCCTGCCAGGTGGCCGGCTGCTCAGTTCTCTCAAGGAAGCCGGGTGCCCTGGGTGACTTTGTCCAGGACTCCGGCCCCGGTGCAGAGTGCAGGGCTTCAGGTCCAAGCCAGGGCTGCCTGCCCGAAGTTCCTTTGCGGTTTCCAGACATCCTCAGTACGGCCCACTTAGACCCCTTCCCCGGAGACAGGGCGGGAGAGCAGGTCACCCAGGTCGGCGGGGGCAGAGGAGGCAGCCCCTGCCGCTGCCAAGGGTCGCGCTCTGGGGGAAGGAGCGGCTTTGTGCCCACGCCCACCGGCACTCGGAGATTCACTGCAACCTCTCCGCTCTCCTGTTTCTGTGACCCCGGCCACCTAAGCCTCAGTTTCCATGCTTGTGAAATGAGACCCTGACACCTCGGCCCTATGTTCTTCGCTTTGTCATCACGATGTATAACACATTCAGAAAAGCACACGTGGCATAAAGTCCAACCCAAAAAATCATCACAGCAAGAACAGCCAAGTCGGGTAGGGTGGCGCATGCTTGTCATCCCAGCACTCTGGGAGGCTGAGGCAGGAGGATACCAAATTGAAGGTCAGCCTGGGCAATTTAGTGAGAAAACTTTTAAAAAGGGCTGAGGATGTAGCTTAGCAACACTGAAAAAAAATTCTACTTAGATCAAGAAGGAACATAAAGTCCCCCATGCCCTTCAGCCACCCCTTTCTCTCCAGTTAAGGGCATCACTTATGATACACGCAAGTGTGTAGTCTCTTCCTTTTTCGCTGCTGTATACTATTCCCTCACAGGAGTCTGCCAGGATCTGCCCACCCACTTCCCAAGGATGAGATGCCTGATTCTAGATTTAGAATCACTTTGCATCTGATGAGACTCCATGGCAGTCTTGCGCCTGTACCCAGAGGATGAGGGGAGGGGCCTAGCTACTGTGAGCCAGGGGTCCAAGGCACAGTCACCTCCTACCTGACAGCCACTTGGGAAAAGGCCACACATATCACACTCTGAGGCCACGGGGTGTGTCTGCCTCTGCCAACTTCAGTCCTGTGACTCAGCAGAGGTCTACAGGACACACACACCTGCCTCCTCGCACCTGCTGCTTCCCTCCTTAGTGTCCCGGGTTGCTGGTTGGTTGGTTTGCTGACACAGGATCTTGTTCTGTAGC